GTAATAGGGTCTATCTTTCTTCAGTTATTTGCAGTTATTGCAAAAATAAGGGCCATCACATAAAAGACTGTAGGAAAAGACAATGGGCGAATACTCATAATTCCTCAAGTAATAACTTGAGTAATCCTGCTTCAAGTTCGAACGCATCTCGTTATAATTCCCAAAACAATCAATCCCATTCGGGAAACTCTTTGCCGGGAGCATCGAGCAGCCGTATGACTCCCGCCCGTGCTTTCAAATAGGCTGTTCTCTAGACAAAAGATCAGAATATCGTTGCATAAATTTAAGTATTAATATAGTAGACGAAGAAAAAGTATCTGTACTGGTAGATAACGGGGCAGATATATCTTTAATAAAAGTTAGTAAACTAAAGGATGATTGCCTTATCGACACATCATTTCCTGTCCACGTAACGGGTATTGGAGGTAGTCATGTTACTACCATAGGAAAGATAGTTGCCATTATTACCTTACCAAATAACAAAAAAATACCTCACGAATTTCATGTTGTAGGAAAGGAAATTCCCGTACCTGACGATGGCATTTTAGGCCGCGATTTCTTACAGAAAAATAAAGTAGTTTTATATTATAATAGAGGTACTTTTAGTGTAGATAATTGTTCTTTAGCGTTAAGAAGTTCACAAAATTTAATTACTATAAAACCTCGCAGCGAACGATTTATTAACTTTAATACTCCTAAGTCATTACATGAAGGTCTTGTAGAAACTTTTGAATTAAAACCAGGTATTTTTGTCGGTTCGTGCTTAACTAAACCTACAAATGGGCAGTGTGTTGTTAGCGTTCTTCCATGGAATTTTCCAATACCTTTTGTACCAAAAAAACAAGACGCTTATGGTGAAAAGAAGTGACGGCTTGTGGTTAACTATCGTAAATTTAATGACATCACGGTGGGTGATTCGTTTCCCTTGCCGTCTATAGCAGATATTTCTGACCAATTAGGAAAGAGCTAATATTTTACAACTCTCGATTTAGCGAACGGGTTTCACCAAATTCAGCGCTAGCCGAGGAAGACAAGGAAAAAACAGCCTTCAGCACAAAATTTGGTCATTTTGAGTACAATAAAATGCCAATGGGCCTTAAAACAAGTCCTGCCTCATTCCAAAGAATAATGAATTGTATCTTAAGCGGTCTACAAGGTTTAAAGTGTTTTATATACTTAGACGATATTTGCGGTTACGGTTCTAATTTGAAAGATCATAAAGGGAAATTAAACGAAGTTTTCGAGAGACTTCGCTCTGTTAATCTTAAATTACAGCCCGCTAAGTGCGAATTTTTTAGACGCGAAGTAAGTTACTTAGGACATTTAATAACTAGCAACGGAATTTTACCTGATCCTGAAAAAACAAAAGTAATTTTAGAGTATCCTATACCTCAAAATGTTAAACAATTAAAATCATTTCTTGGTCTCTGTGGATACTATAGGCGTTTTGTTAATAATTATAGTTTTATTACACTACCCTTAACAAAGCTTTTAAAAAAAGATTCTGTTTTCCAATGGTCCGATTTATGCAACAAATCATTTCAAAATTTAAAACAAATTCTTTCAAATCAACCCCTCTTGCAATTTCCTAACTTCAATGAAAAATTTTTATTAACAACAGATGCTTGTAACACTGGTATTGGTGCAATTTTATCTCAAGGAAAAATAGGCGACGATTTACCTATTGCATATTGCAGTCGCGCTTTAAATAAAGCAGAACTGAACTNAAATCAACCCCTCTTGCAATTTCCTAACTTCAATGAAAAATTTTTATTAACAACAGATGTTTGTAACACTGGTGTTGGTGCAATTTTATCTCAAGGAAAAATAGGCCACGATTTTCCTATTGCATATTGCAGTCTGCACAAGCAGAACTGAACTACAGCACCACTGAAAAGGAGCTTTTAGCAATTGTTTGGGCCACTAAACATTTCCGCCCTTATCTCTTTGGCAGACGTTTTATTATCATAACAGATCATAAACCTCTAGTTTGGCTTTTCAGTGTAAAGGATCCCGGTAGCAGACTAATAAGATTTAGGTTAGCATTAGAAGAGTATGATTATGAGATCGTATATAAGACAGGTAAACTTGTAGCGGCTAGTTCATAATCAAAATCCTGAGAATGTACATAAACCAAAATTATTATAAATCTAACAATAAGAACTGAAACAGTACGGTTATCGGTTAACATTCTCAGAAAAACATTAAGCAGTGAAACCCAACCGAAACTTGTTACCAGGAAGCGAACGGCGAAAGCAGCTACGGTAACAATACAACGATCGTCGTTAAGGGTACCGAGAATTGGAACAATTACCGTATATAAACGGAAATTTTGTATCATGTGAGGGTAGTAAGTCTTGATCTTTCTTTCTGTTACCTATACATGCTATTGACTATTTATTTATATTTATTGTTTGTTATAATTTTGTGGTGTGATCTTCTTTTATTATTCGTTTTATGTGTTTTGTTTGGTGTATTAGTGTAATCCAACTTATACTGTTTTTATTTGTGTCGGACTATTATTTATTTTTATTATTAACAACAAAAACCGACAAGTGGTGACCCGACGTAAGTAATTTTGGATCATACCCAGGAATTTCAACAAAGTGTTTTTTGTTTTTCTCCGTAAGAACAATGGTAAATACCCGTACAGACAGCGAAGGCCTAAGTCAGTTAGAACAACAACGACGCCAGCTTGAGCAACAGCTACAGGAAATGGACCAGGAACGACGGGAATTAGAATGCTTACGCCAGGAATGGCAACTCCGTCAAATCCAACAAGATCAGCTGCCGCAACCTCAAGAAGCTAGTACAGTACCCACGGGACCAGCACGCCAGCACCCTATAACTGCATCAGGGATTGAACGAGTAGGACTGCGTATATACGAATTTACCCCCAGCGACCCGGAATATTTCTTTGCATTACTGGAGAGAACATTGAGAACAGCAGGTATAACCAGCGACGAGGCCAAATTCAGCTACGTACTCGGTTCCCTAGGGACAAAACATCTGGGCGAAGTCCGGGACATCGTGATGAATCCACCGCAAAAAAATTCCTATGATGTTTTGAAAAGAGAATTAGTGAAACGTCTCAGCCAATCTCAAGAGCACAAGACCCGAAAGCTCTTGGAACACGAAGTCATCGGAGATAGGAAGCCTTCCCAGTTCCTAAGACATCTACGGATGTTAGCCAGCAACATCGTAGGTGATCCTGTTTTGCGAACAATATGGCTGAGTCGATTACCAACACAATTACAACCCCATCTGGTAACTAAAACCGAGAGTACACTCGATCAACTAGCGGAAATGGCCGATGCAATTCTGGAAGCTACACGATCACCACCGCAGGTAACCGTCAATAGCGTAACTAATGAAACATCGCTGGAGATAAGGCTTGCACAATTGCAACTAAGTATCCAACAGCAAGTGGCAGAACAATCATCAGCACTACGAAGACAAATCGACGCCATCACTGTTCCCGAAAGGCAACGCAGTCGGGAT